AGTCATCATGGATGGCACAGACACAGAGAGAAAGGAAGGAAGGAAGGAAGGGAGGGAGGGAGGGAGGGAGGGAGGGAGGGAGGGAGGGAAGAAGGGAGGGAGGGAAAGGAAAAGGAAGGGACAAGAAAGGAAAGGAGGAAGGAAGGAGGGAAGGAGGGAGGGAGGAAGGGAGAAAGGGAGGGGTGGAGGGAGAAAAAAGGAAAGAAGGAAGAAAATAAAGAATTTTGCAAATAGGCTGTGCACAGTGGCTTATGCCTATAATCCCAGCACTTTGGGAGGTTGGGGTGGGCAGATCACTTGAGCCCAAGAGTTTGAAACCAGCCTAAGCAACATGGCAAAACCCTATCTCTACCAAAAAAAAAAAAATTAGTTGGACTTGATGACACATGCCTATAATTCCAGCTACTCAGGAGGCAGAAGTGGGAACATCACCTGAGCCCAGGAGATAGAGGCTGCAGTGAGCTGAGATGTACTCCAGCCTGGGTAACAGAATGACAACCTGTCTCAAAAAAAAAAAAATTATACAAATAATTGGGGTTTTGATATGTGGAAGAAAGGAGAAAATATAATTTGCAGTGACAAAATCTAATAGGAGACCTAGTCTGAGTGGTCAGGGAAGGTTTCCCTGAGGAAGTGATTATAAGCATATAATAAACCCTGAATAAATACTTAAGTTAATGTAAAAATGAAATTATATTTGAGATAAGACCTGAAATATTGTCAAGAATTAGCCTGTAATATCAGCACTTTGGGAGGCTAAGGGAGGAGGATCATTTGAGCCCAGGAGTTTGAGGTTACAGTGAGCTGATCATGCCACTGCACTCCAGCCTGGACAACAGAGCCAGACCCTGATACACACACACACACACACACACACAGAGAGAGAGAGAGAGAGAGAGAGAGAGACACACACAAACAAAACAAAACAAAACAAAACAAAACAAAAACAGATAAAGTTTAGTGAGCAAAAGGGAGAGGGGTGTCTAGACCAAGAAAGCAGCATTTGTGAAGAATACTGAGCTTGGTTCTTTGAGTGAAGCACACTCAAATTGGCTTTGGATTTTTTTCTTTTTTCTTTTTTTTTGAGATGAAGTCTTGCTCTGTCACCCAGGCTGGAGTATAGTTGCATGATCTCAGCTCACTGCAACCTCTGCCTCCCGGGACCAAGTGATTCTCCTGCCTCAGCCTCCCGAGTAGCTGGGATTACAGGTGCATGCCACCATGCCTGGCTAACTTTTGCATTTTTATTCAAGACGGGGTTTCACCATGTTGGCCAGGCTGGTCTTGAACTCCTGACTTCAGGTGATCCACCAGCCTCAGTCTCCCAAAGTGCTAAGATTATAGGCATGAGCCATGATGCCTGGCCTAGAATACTATGTTTCAGAGGTACAGAAATCGCTTAGTCAAGACTGTAAGATGCCCCTCCAAAATACAACAAATGAATAGGTAGAGTTGTCGTCTGCTTACGTGCTACAAATGACTTAAAGTTTACTACTTTTTCAATCTTGTTCATTCTGGTTTTTTTTTGTTTTGTTTTTTAACTACTCTGGCTGTGCACAAATTCTTCCTTCTATGAGTGAAAATGTTTTTTCCATAACTTCACTTCTTAGCCTTGTTCTCCATCTTAGAACTGAGTAGAATAAGCCCAATTTGTCATTTTAGAAGTGGTTAATAGAAAAGCCTTTACTTAAAAACTAAGGTGCTCTAATAAAACTGGAGATCAGATTATGAATTAGAAAGTGGTACTATTTAAAAAATCCATTACGGTAAGCACAGTAGAAAGAGATAGGGATTTATCTTCTATGCCATAACAACTAATAAATAGCATAAAATTAACTGTTCTCAGAACTAGAGCCTGTTTCTTTCCTTTGATCCACAAATGGGGCCCGTAATATGTGAATGGCATTTTATTACAAATTCTGGGGGAATAAGTAAAAGAAAAAGAATATTTGAGTTGTAAGATCTTGCTCTCTTAGAGCATATGATTTCTTTTGAGAGAAAAGATTTGTATGATTATGTAGATATAACAGGTGAGCACATGCCAAATGACCGGTATGCCAATAAAGAGATCATGGTGGGCTGGGAAGGAGTATATCCTCTACTAAGAAAAACCTGGCCACATACAGTGCCTCATGCCTATAATCCGAGCACTTTGGGAGGCTGAGGCAGGAGGATAGCTTGAGCCCAGGAGTTCAAGACCAGCCTGGTTCAAGATGGGGTCTCACTCTGTCACCCAGGCTAGAGTGCAGGGGTGCCATCTCAGCCCACTGCAACCTCCACCTCCTGGCCTCAACTTCCCAAGTAGCTGGCACTACAGGCTTGCACCAACATGCCTGGCTAATGTTGTATTTTTATTAGAGACAAGTTTCACCATGTTGACCAGGCTGGTCTTGAACTCCTGACCTCATGTGATCCACCCACCTTGGCCTCCCAAAATGTTGGGATTACAAGAGTGAGCCACTGTGCCCAGCCTCTGCACAAAAACAGTTGTTTAAACTAGCCCAGCATGGTGGCGCACACCTATAGTCTCAGCTACTCAAGAGACTGAGGATCTCATGAGCCTAGAAGGTCAAGGCTATTGTGAGCCATGATTGTACCACTATGCTCCAGTCTGGGCAACAGAGCAAGTCCCCATCTCCAAAAATAAATAATTAAAAATATATGCCTTACTCACTGAGTTTCTCTTTAGAATGGGATAGACCAGACTTTCTTTATAATTTATACTCCTCTTCCTCCCTTCCATTCCTCTTTCTGCCATCACCCCTGGCAATTATTTAGCCTGAATGAGCCATCAAACAGTATTTACTGAATAGAATTGGCTTGTCTCCCATACTCTGTTAATGATGTTTAAGATGTTGCATTTTATAGTAATCTTTTTTTCTTATTCTCCTTTGCTTTCAGAATTTTTTAAGTGAATATGAATTTTTTTCTTTTTCTTTTTCACCAAATACTCAGACTTCAAGAAGAGAATATATATTTTTAAGCTAAAACGCACATGCAAAAATCTTCACACCTATTGTGGGAAAATATGTGAAAGCCACTTTTTTTAAAGATATGTGAAAAAATATTTCTATTCACTCTTTTGAAATGGGTTCTGTTAGTATCTTTGCCAAAGTACATTTAATGTCCAGCAGCTTCTTCTGAATGGCTATCTTGAGCCAACCTTAGAGATTAAAATAAGTGGATTATGTGGCATGATGACAGTAATTAGCTATTGATTTAGCAGCAAAGCTCTGCTTATAGTTTCTTATTTTTGTCTGCCTGATTTCCTTCAAGAACTGCTTTATCGTGTTTCTTTCCTCTTCCAGCGGAACGGAAGCCCCCCCTTTTCAATATGAATGCAATGAGTGCCTTATATCACATTGCCCAGAATGACTCCCCAACGTTACAGTCTAATGAATGGTAAGACTCTGCTATCATTTTAAATCTCTAGGAAAATCACCATATGTATTTGGCATTTTTATTAAATTACATTTTAAATATCTGACCTAGAAAGCATTTCATTCCTTCACTGTATGTTGTTGTAAGTGACACTGATGCCTCACAAGCATCCGATGTCTGTACATGCCCACACATATAGATTTACTTATTTCTGCCTTCACCATGGCTTCCACTGTGTTCTAAATGTGTCTAGTAACTGAAATCCTGCAGGGAACATGCCCTGCTACCCTCCTAACAAGTCTACTGTCCCAAGTCCTAATGGTCTTGCATTGATCATCTCAGCTGATACCACTTTTCTGCAGAGATAAGGGGCCCTCTATGACATCATTATTTTTCCAGTTGTCTTTTTTTTTTAAAACTATATGTGTACTTAAATGTGTTGAGATAGAACGTATACTATCTATTCAGAAGCATTGTTTCTTGCTGAAAATTATGATACTTTTATAACTATTTGGGCTGCAAGAGTTATCTTAAAAGGGGTAATATTAAAGAAGAGTAGGTTAAACAGAACTTTTAAGATAGGAAGTATTTTTATTCAGGAAGCTTATTCTTAGGTTATCCATCCCTCGTGCTTCAAATTTAACTACTTCGTTTTGGATTGTGTGTAGTAGAGGAGTTAACAATTGGTAATTAAGAATATAGAGTTGAGACTCTGTGAATTGTTGTCTTTGGAGAGAAAAATGTATATAAACCTTTTTTTCAGATGGAGTTTTGCTCTTGTTGCCCAGTCTGGAGTGCAATGGTGCAATCTTGGCTCACCACAACCTCCGCCTCCTGGGTTCAAGCGTTTCTCCTGCCCCAGCCTCCTGAGTAGCTGGAATTACAGGCATACCACCACGCCCAGCTAATTTTGTATTTTTAGTAGAGACGGGGTTTCCGCATGTTGGTCAGGCTGGTCTCAAACTCCCGACCTCAGGTGATCCGCCTGCCTCGGCCTCCCAGAGTGCTGGGATTACAGATGTGAGCCCCCTGCACCCAGCCATATAAAACTATTTTATATAAACATAGTATTTTTGTTTTGATATATATTATGATTTGACCTTACTTACGTATTAAGATGTGTTTATATGTTGATTAATTTGAAACTGTGTCCTCACTCATCCAAAAGAATTAATTTTAGATATCAAAACTTGAAAATGGTCCAGTTCTCCTGATATTCCAAAGCGTTTTATTTTTTAAAATCTCCTAGAATGCAAAATTTTCCCTTTAATGAAAATTGTTTTAAGTAATCAGTGTGCTCTACAGACCCTGAGTTTATTTTCTTTTGTGTATTTGCATACACAGGACAGACTCCTTTAGGAGATTTGTTGATTACTGCTTGCAGAAAATACCTCAGGAAAGGCCAACATCAGCAGAACTATTAAGGGTAATTTTTCAAATTTATATTTGAGGAGGGGGATTTAAAGTCATGTTATAGTGGAATATAATAAATCATTCCTGTGGCAGCTCATCATGACAAAGTAGTTTAGAACGTGCTGCCTTGTCATTTATCCAGAGATAAGTAGCTAGGCATAGAAATAGCAAGATTATTGCAATGTATGTGCTATGCATTCCCTGTGGATAGTTTTGGCCCTATCTTTTCCATTTTTCCCCTCCCTCCCTGTTCCTTTTTTGCCTTATGACAAATATTTCTCCTCCTTACTCAAGTCATCATTGTGATGTTCCTGGGCCTAACATCTGCATAAACATTAATCCAGTGGTCTCAGGACAGAGCTGGCTGGTGGTTCAAACATCAGCTCTGGGATTTTCAGTTAGGTTGTTGCCAAATCCTCGGGCAGTGAAGGTATATGATAACTATACAGAATAGACATTTACATAGTATTATGACATGTTAGTGATAAGAGTATCATGTTAACCACATTTGATTTAACTATCACATTTCTGAGCATCTCTTTTCATGTAATATTTTACTGTAGACTTTATACACAGGCAGTGTGTTGCATCGATATCAGTGTAGTATGTACGTAGAAATCTTTTACAGGAGAAGTGTTTTCTTATTTGGCACACAATGGTCCAGATTTCTTTAATCCTTTTTTGCATGTATGTTTTTCAACCCTTTTTGTTTCTTCCTTCTCTAGAATGGCTGGCTTTTGTTGTGGAGCAGTTTTGTTTGCTTGTTTTGTTTTTTTTTTCTTTTCCTTTTAAACTTGTAGCAGTACTTAGTGTCCAGCAGAAAACACTCCATCAGCTAAACAATATCTTGACTGCAAAGCTTCTCTTATTGTTGGTGGATAGATAATGACATAGCCCTGTCATTACCACTGTGACAACAGTGACTTGTTTGCTTGTTTTTAAGAAGAACTCAGAAGAGTTGTATTGTCTCAATTTGTAAAGCTTAAAAATGTCTGCCTTTATAATTGAAGAACACCTTGACTAGGTGACAAGTAAGTTTTTTCTTTCCTGTGAACAGTAGGCCACAGGAGGATGGTAAGAAGAGAAGCAACAGGACAAAGGGCTTGATCTTGTTCTCCTTTGTTGTGGAGCCCTTACATGTTTTAAACATGAACTACTTTGTATACCTTAGCAACAATTTCATGTTTCTTAGGGGAAAATGGCAATCAGAACAAAACACTAGAAACACAGAATAATATCTTTATTACTTTGAAGTAGACCAAGATCTTAAAAACAAACAAAAAACAAGGACATAAAAATTACTACCATAAAAGGGGAAAAAATGTGGAGCTGGGTATGGTGGCTCATGCCTAAAATCTCAGGATTTCAGGAGGCTGAGGCAAGAGGATCACATGTGCCCAGGATTTTGAGGTTATAATGAGGTATGACTGTGCCACTGCACTCCAGCCTGAGCAACAGAGTGAAAACGCCATCCGTTTAAACAAAAAATGGAAATAAGTGAATAAATTTGGGCTTTGTTAAAGTTAAGAGTTGCAAACAACAAAAAAATATAAAAAGCAAATGGGTAAAGGTAAAGAAGGAAATGGAAGAGAAAAAACATAACAGTTCAAAAAATCATAAGCAATCAACATATAGTAAACCAACCCATTTAGGATGTTTCCAGTGGTGAATAAGCTTAAGTAAATAAAGTAGAGTTAAGTGCAAAAAATAAAAGTTCT